CTTGAAATCGTTGCAGAAACCCAAAAACATAAAATTCAGAATCCGTCTCTGTCCAAGATAGCACTATCTGACGTACCCTTTTGTGTCCTTTGATACATGACATTATTCTAGGTACATATGTCAAACACAAAATTTTATAAACAAATTTAACCTAAGGTTGTGCCAAAGTTTCTTTTCTGAACAACAAAGATTCAGATGCATATGAATTGAAAAATAATAAATATATCGATATAACAGAAATGGCCAATAGCAAGTGGCCAGTGAAGAACTTAACGACAAAATATTCACTGGCCAAGACATGAGGAAAACTCTCTTTCTTGAGTAACTTTTAATTACTCTGATTTCTGAATATGCCCATACCCTTTTCTCTTTCTTTTTATTTTTATTTTTTCAGATTTTCCTAAATACAAGGAATCCAATGAACCCCATCTGCTGACAACTGAGATTAATACCATATACCATCGAGGATTGTGATCGATGGATAGGATCTCTTTACTCTTATAAATAAGAAGTCTTGAGTTCGAGCCGTGAAATCAATCACTGATGGTTGTATATGGGCAGGCCGTAGGTTGCATACATCAGGGTGAAATTCAAAAATAGCCAGATTTACAACTGGTCGTTCAAAAATAGCCCAGTTTCAAAAGTAATCGATATTTAGCCACTTTTCATGTGAAGATAAATCTGAGCGAAAATACTGTTCAAAACCCGGAAAATATGCCAGCATATTATGCTGGAGTTGCTGGAGTTCCAGCATAAGTATACTTGAACTCCAGCATATTATACCGGAGTTCCAAGATAAGTATGTTGGAACTCCAGCATAATATGATGGAGTTCCAGCATAAGTACACTAGAATTCCAGCATAATATGCTGAAGTTCCAACAAGTATACCGGTCCAGCATAATATGCTGGAGTTTGGAGCACCGATGCTCCAGTCTCCAGTATATTGTACTTGAGCCAGCAAAGTATACCTGTCCAGCATAATATACTGGAGTTCATACACAGGATCACCGAACTCCAGTATATTATGTTGGACCGGTCTCTGCTGCAGCAAAATAGTGGCTATTTTTCATTGACTTGGTAAACGCTGGCTATTTTTGAATGACCAGTCCGAAAACTGGCTATACCGTGCTATTTTAACCATACATCATACCCCCTTAGGATGCAGCCCTTCCCTAGATCCTACGAGAACGCAGAATGCTTCGTGCACCAAACTGCTTTTTCTACTCCTAGGGTGCAGTCTTTTCTCGGGCCCTACGGGAACGCGAGATGGTTTGTGCATCAGGCTGCCCTTTAAGTGGTCTCCCGTTCTAGCCCTAAAATGAAAAAAATTATTAGTATGAAAACTTTTCGCCTTTAATGAACCTTATGCGGTGTGAACCCGAAATTAGTCGGAGCTACATTACGAATACCGAATACCAAGTAAAAAACAAAAAAACAGATGAATACAATATCATTAGCTTATATTTTATAGTTGGTCATGTGGTTTTTCCAATAGATAATAATATCTCATAGAGGATAAAGGATAGAGTTCTTGCTGGCCTGGTTAAGCTACGGATTAGAGATTTTCAAGACTTGGATATCTGGAATGGAATCTATTGCCTACCATGACATATATATTTGTGGTTAAGAATTAAATTATACAATATACCAATAGTAATAGTATAGATGAACATTGAAAATAATATTGTATTTTATTCGGTATAGAAAGTAACTCATCTCAGATTTTAGAAAACTAATTCTACTTTTTGGAGTAGCTAATTACATATAATTTCTGAGGATCGAATAATGTAAAAGCTCTTTTATATTATAATTGTATAGAAGTTAAACAGGTCGGTGCCAAACTCTCACTCTACATGACAGTCATTGACAATAAATATATGTAAAATATGAATTGCATGGACATTTGAAATTAAAGAGACGTACGATAAAACCAAACAATAATAAAGGTTAAAATAATAATAATACAATAAAATTTTGATGGGCTGTAATAGATGAATAAGCTCTTTCTATGATTCTATCCTTAATCAGAGGTTTCAATCGGGTTTAAACATTAAACTTTAAAAACTCTGCTAATGATCATTTTCTTTAATAAACGTTACGTGATTTGAATTTAAATTAGTTGGATCCCTGAAAGGATATAGAATTCCGAATAAAAAGGCAGACCGATGCAATAAGCTTCTATTATGCACGGGGTTCAGAGAAAGACCGGATTATAAGGATCTATTGTATGCAATCTTACCCTGCATTTCTGCAAGAGACTGTTTTTATGACTTGAACCCGTGACTTCCATGGTCATATCGGATATCGAGTGGAAATAAAAATAAAACAAAGATATATAAAAATATAGTATGAGTTTCATGGATTCCAATATGCAAGGGAATCTGTGAAGGAAGGGAGCCAATCAAGTAGTTTCTTTAGAGGAAAGTCTGACAAATGATGATCATTGTGTTTGGAGTTTTCTCTTATAACTTTGTGAGACCGTACCTCTTATCCCTCACCATTCTATTTCGAGCTTTTTGTCTTTAAATACAACCCTAAATTAGAGCACCCTTCTGTCTTTCATGTGCCATTGCAGTTTCTTGAAAGCATAAATTAAAAAAGAAAATTATTAGAGAGAAAAATAAAGTTAAGATGAATGTAAAGGACGGTGCATAAGGCATTTCGCGAGTCCGGAGAAGAATTGCATCCCGAGAATCGAGGAATATGATTTATTAGACAGCTTACTCTAGTGCAAACATTAACTATTGCTTTCATGATTTGAACCCGTAACATATAGGTGACACAAAGATAATTTTATCGTTGTTCTAAGGCGCCCCCATCAACGAGTAGAGGAATGTTAATTTTAATTTTAGTTCAGAAGACTAGTCAATATGCATGCCATTCAGTGGCGTAGCTAGCCTATGCCAAATGTGGTCAAGCGTATACCCTTCGTCGAAAAATTATACTGGGTATATAAGTTAAATACTACTTTAAATAGTTATATATATTGTGTTTTGAACAACCTTAACACTATTGAGTGAGGCAGTCCAGCGGTTTAGAGTGTTCAAAAGTATTGTTCACGGGTTCAAAAATTCTGTCCATTTTATTTGCCAAAACTTGAGACTACCATGTGTGTTTTATTTTTAATTTTTTTTAGCTAAATATTGCGTAATTTGATCTAAAATATTTGATATACTATTCGTTGAAAAAAAAAATTACATCCCATTTTTTTCTTGGGAATGTTGGAGAATAAGATGGAGTATATATTTTGAGTGGACGAGTTTAGAATTAGAATAATGTGATATATACATAAATAGTTTGAGCCCAAAATAATATATTCAAAACTCACTCTAAAACTAGAGCTAGAGTCTCAAGAGGGAGGGAGACTAACAGAAGCAAGAGATATCAAGCTAGAGATAATACAGTTCTATAAGTCACTTATGGGTCAGCTTTGCATAATGTGACAGCAGTTAACAAGACAATCATGAAAAGAGGGAATGTTCTGAATCATATTCAATAGCTCCAACTATGTGCAAAAGTGACAGAGGAGGAGATTTATTCAGGGCTTCAATTTATAGGAGATGACAAAGCTCCATGTATGGATGGATATAATGTTTGTATTCTATAAAAGAGTTTGGCCAGTCATTAAAAGTGTAATCACTGAAGCTATGCAAGATTTCTTTACAACAGGCAAAATGTATAAAGGAATTAACTGTACAGCAGTCACCCTGATACCAAAGGTAGCCAATCCTGCTACAATCAAAGAGTATAAGCCAATTGCTTGTTGCACTGTTCTATACAAGATCATAGCAAAGATCCTTGCAGGCAGAATCCAGAAGGTGATAGCATCCAGTATCACTGAAACTCAATCAGGATTTATCCCAGGAAGAAAAGTAGCAGATAATGTGATTATGGCTCATGAGTTGGTGAAGACCTATACAAGAAAACATATATCCTCCAGATGTATGATTAAGTTTGATATTCAGAAGGCATATGACACAGTGGATTGGAGATTTTTGGAACAAATGTTGAGAATTGCAGTTCCCTAAAAAAATTGTCAAATGGGTGATGGAGTGAGTTACTACTGTTAACTACTCCATAGTTATAAATGGAGAGCTAACCCCGCCATTTGAATGTCTCCCTTCCTATTTGCTATTGTTATGGAGTATTTGAGTAGAAGTCTCAGCACCTTAAAAGAAGAGAAGCAGTTTAAGTATCATCCAAATTGTTCCAAGCTAAACATCACACATCTGTGCTTTGCAGATGATCTCCTCATGTTTGCTAAAGATGAAAAATATCAGTAGGACTCTTGCATGAAAAGTTTGGTATATTTACAAAGGCTTCAGGGTTACAGGCCAATCAATCCGAGAGTGCTATCTATTATGGTGGGGTTTCAGAAGAAAGCAAGCAGGAAATCCAACAAGCAATTGGATAGAGGCAAGGTGAATTACCATTCAGGTATCTAGGAATTCCACTGGCTACTAGAAAGCTAAAATTGGTAGAATGGCAGCCTTTAATAACCAAAATCACAGCAAGAATATCATCATGGACAGCTAAGAAGTTATCATATGTAGGCAGAGTACAACTAGTAAAGTCAGTGCTTTTTGGTATTCAATCCTACTGGGCACAACTGTTTATCATACCTGCTAAGGTGATGAAAGCCATATAGGGATATTGCAGAAGCTTTATATGGTCAGGAACAAATGAAATTACCAGAAAGCCATTAGTAGCTTGGAGTAGGATGTGCATACCAAAGTCAGCATTAAATCTCACAAACCTTAAATTGTGGAACAAAGCAGCCATAACAAAGATTTGTTGGGACTTGAAGACTAAGAAAGACACTTTGTGGATCAAATGGATTCATGAATACTACATAAAAGCACAAACTTTGGAGAGTATGACTATCTCCCAACAAGCTAGCTAGATGGTCAAGAAAATACTCAAAGCAAGAGATGAATTGAGATATGTGCAACCAGAATATTTGAAGAACAAAAGCATGATTAGAAGCATATATTTGAAAATGGTTGGGGAACTACCTAAAGTTACATGGAAAAACATCATGTGTGGCAATGAATCAAGACCAAAAGCAGTGTTTATAACGTGGCTACAACAACAAGATAGGCTGCTAACTGCTGTAAGACTGAAAAGCTGGGGAATTCAAGTTGAAAATAACTGTGTCATGTGTAAAGAGGTAGCTGAAACTAGGGATCATCTGTTTGCGAAATGTGCAGTTGGAAGACAGGTTTGGAAGAAGCTAATGCAGTGGCTGCAAATCACTTGGGTGGATGTGAGCACATGGAACCAGATGCAACAATGGATTGAGGAGAACACAAAAGGGAAAACTACAAAGGCAAAGTTAGTGAAGCTGGTGTTTACAGAATATGTTTATGCAATCTTGATAGAAAGGAACAATAGGCTGTTTGCTCATAAGGAAAATACATGTGAAACAATGGCTAGTGAGATTGCATATACCTGTCATGTTCGAGCCAATAGTAATTGATAATAGGTGAATTTAACTATAATCACGCCTTAAATAACCACCTTCTTGTATAGTTTTGATGATAAAAGTGATAACAAAATGCTCTTATTAGTGCTTTTCATGATTTGCAGGTGATATATGACTAGGGAAGGCTAGGGAGTACTTTTGGAGTCAAAAATGAAGAAAAAGAGGCCAACTGTGAAATTCCCCAAGTAAACCACGCAAAACAGGCCTGAAGATTCAGAGAACTGTGTTGACCGCGATCCACCGCGACCGCGGTACAACCGCGGTGGAAGAGAGCTGCAGATAAAATGAGATTCAGAGAAGGCATTTGGCTGCGGTTTGACCTCGACCGCGGCAGAACCGCGGCGGAAGCAGAAAACTTCAGGGACTAAAGTGTAAAACACGGGATTTTTAGACCTAAACCCTAGTTTAAATACGAGACTTCGCCCAAGAAAGGCATGTATTGAATTTTAGAGTATCTTGGCAAGAAAAACTATTGTGAGAGAATACCCAAAAACATAGTTCTTCTTTTCTTTGATTTTTATTGCTAGTTATGATGAATTCTATCTTAGTTTGTTTTTCCATAGCCATGAGTAGCTAAATCCTTTGTCTAAGGCTTTGATGGAACCTATTGGGGGATGAACATCTTGTTTATGTGAATACAAATTGCTAGTTTCAATCTCTATTTGTTCAACTTTGTGCTTGTTGTAGTTAATTGACAGGATCCTCAATTAGCTGTGCCTATTTAGTGTGCATAACTTGGAAAAGAGTGCATATTTAGGTTATTGTTGAACAACACCACTCCCAAAGTATAAGAGGAATCTATAATCGCGGGTTTAAAGGCGGGATTAAGGATAACGAAGCCTTGGGTGTAATTTAAAGTGAATTGTGCTAAATAAAGTAAGCTAGTGTATCTCGGGAGAGTGCAATTAGTATATTACTGTGATTACTTGGGAGAGATTTACGGTAAGATGAGCGTTCATGATTGATAGAGATGTGTTGGTAAATTTGTATGAGCATAAACAGAAGGGATTCCTTCAATAGGGGAAATTATTGCCTTAGCTTCTTCTCATCATTGTTTACAACCTTAACATTTTAGTTTACAGCTGTTTAATTTACTTGCAATCGTAGTTAGTAAAGCGACCTTCAACTGTAATTCAAACATCTGGGAAACTGGTTCTGAAGAGTTTAGTGGGTCTAAAGATAGTGATTGATAGGTTAACTCTCTGTGGATTCGATCCTGGGCATAATACTCGGGTTATATTTGCAACGTCCGCAGAGTCCTTTTTAGAGGGCATAGTTGGGCGTGATCAGTAATACTAGGATACTACTTCAAAAGTATAGATTTCCTAGGTAAGCAATAGATACCGATAGCAAAGGCTTGCTTGAAGAGAATACTGATAGATTAGATGAGAGAAGTAGATTGTGATATAAAGTCTGACTAATTTGTACGTAATACTTTTGGTTATTAATGAAAAATTTATAATTACCAAAAAAAAACTCACTCTAAATCCACCGCTAAGGAAAGAAATTAAAGGGTATATATTTAATTGTATTTGACATTCTTTTTTATTATTTTTATTTTAAAAAGAATGATAAATTATTCTAAATTTAAAACTTTAGGACCTTAAATTTTTCATTTTGCACTTGATGATATTATTTTATAACAACATAATATGTGATCATGATCATGGGAGCCAGGGCGGAAGGGGTTCATCGGACCATATTTAAGACCATATTTGCACTCCTGATTATGACATATTTAAGACCGTAAGTTCTAATATCTTTCACAAATTTAGTATTCAATCTGATACGTCATATAAAATGAAACGGATGCAATATATATGAAAAGAAGAGATATAAAGGACACCATCAAAGATTGTGATATAGAGTGGTAATTTTTCTTTCGTCCTCAACCAGATATTCCGGGTTCGAGGCTTAAGTATGGAGTCGTGTTGATAAGGAACTTTTCCTCCAAAATAGTACTTTTCGGCGCAAATCTAACTTAGTCGGACACCAAAATAGATACCGAACACCGAATTTATGAAGAAGAAAAAAGACATATAAAGGTATCAATTTACATAGATTCTGTTTAAATCTCTAGTAATTGAAACATGCAATGAGGTGTATCTACAATGGAGGAAGGTTCTAGAGAGAAGGAAGAGAGAAGATTTTTATTTATGTTAAGTCTAATACATGCGTACATTGTTCTTATATAAAACGGTGTTAACCGCCTAGTTGGTTGTGATTACTCCTTCCTTGATTTTTTTCTCTTACAAAAGGACAATCGATTTCTATGTGCTTTGTTCTTTCGTGAAAAATTGGATTTGCTGCAATTTGTAATGTTGCCTTGCTGTCACAATGTAGATGTATAGGTTCCTTCACTTTGTTTCCCAATTCTTCCAACAGACCCTTCATCCACATGAGCTCTGCTACAGCTGCCGCCATGCTTCTATATTCTGCTTCTGCAAAGCTTCTACTTACAGTTTGCTGCTTTTTATATTTTCAGGACAGTAGAGAATCACCCAGTTTTACCACATAACCTGTCACTGACCTCCTAGTGTTTGGGCAAGCTGCCCAATCTGAGTCACAGTATGTTGTGAGTTCATCAGTAGCTCCACCTTTTAATAGAATACTACTTGAATTTAATTAAGGGGTCCTACTCGAGTGCAGTCATTCATAGGTGCAAGGTACTTTACTTACTATTATAAGTGGATGACTATAGTAGATAGATCTGGCTTTCTTTACTTAGAGAGAAGTCCCAAACTTGGACTCCCTTTAACATATTTGATAACCCTTAGAGCTGCTTCCATTTGTGACTCATTAGGATGTTGCATGAACTGGCTCAACACTTGGACTGCAAAGGATATGTCTAGCCTTGTGATTGTTAAGTCGAACAGCTTGCCAATTAGTTTTTGATAGCTGCCTGCTTCCTGCAACTCTGCATCATCAACATTCCCAACATGCTTGTCATACTCAACTGTGGTAAGCTTGTGGTTTTGTTCCATTGGTGTGGATACTGGTTTGCAAGCACTTAATCTAGCTTCTGAGATCAGTTGCAAGGCATATTTTCTCTGATTGTGTAAAATGCCTTTGTTGGATCTCATCACTTCAATTCCCAGGAAGTATCTAAGCTCCCCTAAGTCTTTCATCTTAAAGTTACTGTGTAGAGTCTCCTTTGCCTCATGCATCAAACTATTATTACTTCCTGATATTAGAAGATCATCCACATATACCAATACAATGACTATATCTGTCTTATCCCTTTTGGTGAATAATGAATGATCATAAGAGCTCTAAGTGAAACCAGCTTGTAATAGTGCATGTGTTAACTTGATGTTCCACTGCCTTGAGGCTTTCTTTAGGCCATAGAGGGATTTAAGCAGTCGACATACCTTAGACTCCCCCTGACTGTAAAATTCCTGAGGTAGCTGCATGTAGACTCCCAACACCAGTGTTACAAGACAGGACACCCTATGCAATGCTCTATGGGAAGTCAGCTAACCTAGATCATTTGAGAGTGTTTAGATGTCAAAGCTTTGCTTGTAATCTTCCTAAAGGAGACAAATTTGCTCCCAGAGCAAGGAAAGCAGTGTTTGTTGGACACTCTGAGACACAAAAAGGTTATAGACTATATGATCTTGATACTCATACAGTTTAGCCACCCGAACCCAGCCATCTTAACTGGCCCAATATTCCATCACATTAATGCCCCAACTTAGGTCACAAGCCCACGTTACTGAGCTCGGCATCAATTCACTAGAAATTGTGCTTCCAATCCACGACAGTACAATCGCATCACATTTTTCCCATTGTGCTATTAGTTCTCCTCTATACGAACTTTTTACACACGTTCCGTCTACAAATCCAATCTTGCCTTTCCCCATAAGTGCTAGTTTCATTTCCCCACTCCACAGGGCATAATTTTCTGACCCTGTGAGTTCAATTAGAACTAAAACTAGACCTGGTGCATCTGTTGCTTGAAGAAATAGAGGATGATTGTGCTCGAGTGAGGTTACCTCGTTTCCTGCCATGGCGGTCTGAGATTTTGCTTCGTCTTCGATGAATTTCCCCAAATTTTAGCTACCTCGCCGGAACTCCTTGTCGGAGCTAACGTCCTCGGTTTCGCTGCTCTGATACCATGTCAATTTACATAGATTCTGTGTAAATCTCTAGTAATTGAAACATGCACTGAGATGTATCTACAATGGAGGAAGGTTCTAGAGAGAAGGAAGAGAGAAGATTTTTATTTATGTTAAATCTAATACATGCGTACACTATTCTTATATAGAACAGTGTTAACCGCCTCTTAAGTGAATAATTTTTCTCGCCCTCTAACTTTCTCTAATTACAAACTGACCCCCACAATTAACCCTCTATCACAACAAAAGGATAAATGAAAGAAAGGGATCAACGTCAGGTTAGCCATAAGCTACAGAGAAACAAGCTTTTTATGAAGGATTCCATTCTCTGCAAAATGGAAATGAGTTCCATATCTCAGCTCCAGTAATCTCCACAGTCGCAGATTTCAAAAACAAATCATGGGATTTTTTTTTTGTTCTTCTTCATTGGCCATGTGTTTATCACGTGCCCTTTCAGAACCATCCACATCCTCTATCTGTATTCTGTAGTTCTTATCCACAAACAGATAGTGATGTTCTTCTTTATTGATTTCTGTCTTGTTATTGGAATAGGTTTTTAGATCATTTTGAGGAAGAAAATTTCAAACGTAAAACTCGTTTATTGCATAGTAAATTATACTCCAACTTATAGTGATGAGTTTCAATAGTTTATAAATAAATAAATAAAGGCAGTTCGGTGCACAAAATATCTCGCGTTCACACAGGATCCAGAGAAGGGCTAGGCAGCATACACTGATGCAAGCATCACTACGTGGCTAATTCCACAGCTCGAACTCGTGGCTTATAGGTCACAAAGACAACTTGACCGTTGCTTCAAAGCTCCTCTTCCGTTTCAGTAGTTTATATGTATGCATATTTAAGTACAAGAAGTGATAAGACAAAGCATCCCCGTTCACACAGGGTCCGAGAAAGGGTCGCTTCCCAAGGGAGTGTGATGTAGGTAGCCTACCTTGATGCATCAGTGGCTGATTCCACGACTCAAACTCGTGACCTATATGTTATACGCAGACAACTTGACCGTTGCTTAAAGGTTCCCTTCCCTTTCAGTAGTTTATATGCATGCAGACTTAAATAAAGAAGTGATAGGACAATCCACATGCATGCAAAAGCTAATTTCACGATCTAAAATGAATGAATTCAAAAATGAGCATGATTTTATTTTTTATATATATATATATATATATATATATATATATATATATATATATATATATATATATATATATTAAACATTTTTGTATACATATACATAATTTGAAGTGAAAGCAATGAATTTAATAGAGTTTATAACTATCCTAGATCTGCATTGTTCAATTAAAATCAATGAGTTTAGTTAAATTTACGCAACTTGTCCTAGATNGGGCCCGGGAGTCGGGTTTTGCCAACTTCGTGATTTTTGATAATTTTCGAGTCTTTTCGATTGGGTTATGTTCCCTTAGCCTATTGTAATGTATTCCTTGTGGTTTTGACCAGATTCACGCACGAGGAAGTTGATTTGCGAGGCAAGGGAATAGCGAGCTAGGACTTTGGCCAGCTTAAGGTGAGTAATGGTTATAAATGATGTTCTGAGGGTTTGAAACCCCGGAATTGCACTATGTGGTGCTATGTGAGATGAGACACGCGCCGTATGATGAGCGTGGTGCTAGTTACTGCTGGGGATTCGGACTCGGTCCATCCCGATTGATGACTCTACTGTATTTTTGACGGAGACTTAATTAATATCAGTATATTTTGGGCTAGTTGCCATGTTTGGAGCCTTGTGCCGATCTGTAGAACCCTTAGGGGGTATGTTGTGCTAGTTGACCCCACTTTACTTGTTGAAATCATACTCTTAGTCATGTTCTTAACTGTTAAACATAATATGAACCGGTTTTAGAAATTGGCAATCCAAATGAGAAATACCTGGGGTTGGAAACCCTATCTTAGCTGAGTGAGCCCGAGTGGCCAAGTCTATATTGACTGAGAGGGGTCAAGGACCCCATAGTGAGGGTATTTGATATATACCGGATCGGGCTGCACGCCGCAGCAGTATATACATATACATGTATGGATCGGACTGCACGCCGCAGTAATATATTATACGGATCGGACTGCACGATTCTGTGATATATATATATATATATATATATATATATATATATATATATATATATATATATAAAACTAAAATCTTGAATCCATAAACTTTAAAATTTTGATTCTGTCTCTGCTTATGAGACCACTTTCACTTTGTTATCCATGGCTTCCTAATTTTTATTTATTTTTTATATATAATTCGAATTTCATTTACCACATAAGATTGTGAGTACATTAGCAAATGACTGATGACTAGTAAGAAATGTCGGTTGTCTGATGCCATTAAAATAATAATTAATCCCCTTAAGTTACCAATCATAAGAAAGTATATTGCATATCATATTCTAAGTACAAACTACAAGAAAATTTTTATTTTATTTTATTTTTTATATTAACGATTTCCCATTTCAAGTATATGCATTAATTCCTTCTTAGTGTGGTAATAATATCAAATGGATTTTGTTTTATACACTAATTTCTTTTACAGTATTAGGGCATTTAAAAGCTATCTACGGATATTGTTTAGTATTTATTTGCTATCTCTTAGAAATATGATAGTAAATAAAGTAACTTATATAATCAGTTAAACTATACTGAAATGTAGGGAGAAAAAAAAGGGAAAATTTCACATAAGAATAAGTGGGATCTCTACTTTTCAATTTTATAGTCTATATTTCAATTTACAACCAATTACCCCAAAAATAATAGGCTAACATTCAACGTCCAACTCCAATAATTCCCGAAATTACTATTTAATTTTTAAAAAAGATTGCTCAAGCTTTTAAATTAATTTTCGAATCGGCAACTATAACTCAAATATTAGTTCAACAAATTCCAGATCCATTTGAATGGTGAAAATTAGATTTTTAACAAGCTTAAATATGTGGGTTTAGATTCCGAATTTGATTTTGTGAGAAATTTGGAGTAGGTGTTATTTAGAATTGTTAGAAATAGTATAAGGAGGTTGTATATAAAATTTGAAGTCATTTAATGGAGATTTGGACTGATTTTGAACAAGAATTGCAACTGAAAATCGTGGACGAAGTTCGTCTACTGACGCTTGTATAAATGTGTATAAGATGTGTTTATACACCCCTATACACTATTATACAAGATTATACATAATTATACAAAAAACTGACTTCGTCTTCTTCCTTGCGTCTTTTCTGAAATTTAACTCAAATCTTGCTCAAATCTACTCAAAATCACTTCAAATTGAAATTTGAACTCCTTTTGATATTTTCAATTAATTGGAACAACACCCAATCCAAACAACTAACAAACTCAAAAAAATTCTATTTTCGAAAGCTAAGCTTTGAATAGCTTTCAATGGTGGACTTCTACTCTTCAATTTTTTTACATTGCAACCAGGTGACACGGGGGAGAAGCAGTAATGGCGGACGGCCCCATGAAGCGCTAGCATATGTAGAAGATGTGAGAAGAAAAGAGAGTGAAATTAGCAATGGTTGTGAGAACACAAATTTAACTCCATAGATTTTGAATTTGCTAGTGCTTTCAAAATATGTACAATATGGGCTAGATCAGGTAAAACTTAAAAACATGGGTCATTTTTTGTTATGGTGTGATGTCAAGTGTACTTTTCTTGTAATTCTTTAAAAAAAAAAAAAAAATTACACTATCAATACATATGGCTTAGCTCTATATAATCACTATATTTAACTGAAGTCCATACAAACTTGAGGAGGAAAACTTTTGAATTATCATAGAATAATATTTATTGAAAGAATCTAACATTTATAATTTTTTTTTTATTGTTTTACATATATTTCTACGTGAGTTTTTGAATCTGCTTATATCTATCACTTTTCCTTCATTGATTGATTCGGCTCTAAAGTTACATCCGTCATAGCTTGGATCTAGTTAATAAATCGATTTAAATTAATTAAATTCAACCTCCCAATACCTAAACTCTGAATCCTGAATTCTCAACCCTAAACTCTGAACCCTAAACTATAAACCCTTATTTCTGAACCCTGAACCGTAAATCTTGAACTCTATACCCTAAACCCTAAAACTTTTATAGTATGATTCAAGTCTAGATTAATCCAAATTAAAAGCAAATTATAAACTTTGGTCTCTTTTCTATGTTTGTTACACCGACAGTCCTCGTGAGTGTTTTAAACAAGACCTAAGAACGTTCCAAACATTTATTTCCTCTAATTTCAACTCTTCTATTCGTCCTATGAATTTGTCCATTTGCATCACGGCCTTTCTATTAGGGAACAAGTTTCAATTATTGTTTGAAAAAACTTCCAAAAGCCATCATTATGTTAGCAAAGAGTCAAAATACATGAGTTAGAAATATACTTGTTGCTTGTAATCTAAGCAACAATTTTGACTTCTAATGCATACTTTGAATATGAAGGGGAATCTTGAAACTAACGATAAAGTTATCTCCGTGTGACTTTTAGGTAACAAGTTCGAGTTGTGGAGTAGTCGCTAAATTGCTTGCATTAGGGTAGACTCTACATTAATTACACCAGAGGCGTAGCCAGAATTTGAAACTTATGGGTTTGAAATTCTAAATCTTGTAAGTTACTATGTTCTAAATTAATAATTTATACATGTTCAATGAATTTCTTAAGGCAAATATATGGTTTGGATCAAAGCTACTGAGTTCAGCCGAAACCGTAGGTTCTACTCTCCCTCCGCCTGCATTACACCCCTTGAGATGCGGCTCTTTCCCGAACATTGTGTAAGTGTGAGATGCTTTGTGCACCGAACTACCTTTTTAATGTTGTCTGTATCACACCCCTTGGGGTGCGACCCTTCTCCGAATTCTACGTGAATGCGAG